TTTATCCAATTCAAAATTAAAATAAATATTTTAAAAGAAATATCTTTCTAATTAATGATAAGAAATTATTTTAAATATACAATAAAAAAAAAAAATACGTACATGTTTCCTTGAAGCTTGAACACAAGCCTGAGATTTTGTATATACGAAATTGGCCATCCTTTTAAACGTTCAACGATCAAATATGTATAAAATCCAGATGTATTGCGTAGCATTATAAATCTGAAATTAATTCTCTATATATCAGTACATTGTTATAACAACCAAAAGATAGCTAGAGAAACAACGTCATTATAAAGAAGTTTGATCGTATGTTCGGACAATGTAACATTATTTTCGGCGCTATCAGAATCGCATAAAATATAATTTTGGTAAAATAAAATACTTACCTTTTATCAATGTTCAAGGGAGGTTCACTTGATTGAGAAACATTCCATGTTCTTTTAAATGAATCTTCTGTCTGATTTTCATTATTAATTATTACCTCAAAACTTGTTCCTGAAAGCCTGCAAAACCAAAAGTATATTGAACTTAATTTTCATTTTTTTACTATTATCTTCTATCCTTAATCATTATAAGTGTCGGGTTCAATATTAATGTCATGTGAATGATAAACCCCTGGTAGAGACTCTACGCAACATGAATCTAAACTAATAGTGTCAATATGTATCACAAAAAAATAGTACTACAATACTAACAAACACAAATTCTCAGTAGATTCCGTAGAAATAGAGTTATTGAAAATGTTCGTCGTTCTTGTATAACGTCCGTTGGAAATTCACATTTTTTTAATAGTGAAAACATATTCAAAAATACAGATAATAATGACTTTCAATTGTCCAAGACGTCAAGGATTCAAGCTATGAAACAATCAAGAATTTAAGCTATGAAACAGACTCTTGCAGAAATGCAGAACAAAACTGTATCAATAGATCCCTAATAAAACTTAGTACATCGAATTGTCCTTTAATAATTAATTCATCAATAATTAATTTGAGACAAGAAAGATAAAACTTACTTTGCTCGAGTTGTACGAGGTCCAATGTTATTCCAAATAATATCCCAATACCTGAAATAAACATAATAAAGTATTATAAGCAATTAATTTCTACGTAGATTAGATAAAAATCTAAAGTATTAATCGAAGTTTAAAGATAAATTAATTTACCCTCTATTGGTTTCTAAATTGTGGGTGGTAGTAGATTTTGGACCCCACCATATGATATACCAATGACATCACCATGTGGTTTTGATAAAGTTATATTGAAGATGTCATTGCTTATCGTCACCTGTAAAATTTAAATTCTGAATTAATATTGACTACCAGTAGGGAATGACAAAATTAATTAGCGTATTTAATACTAAGTATCTTATCTTATACTAAGATATAATTAAAAGGTGTAAACTTATACTTGTTTAGATTGTATGTCCAATTTGAGTGTTGGTGTTGTTGTCGATCTTCGTCTGTTTTTAGAACAAAGAAATAACAAAGTTAGGTAAATGCTTATGATTTGATTGAATCACTCGACTCAAGTGTCCTAACAATAGATCTTTATGTAACTATGCGTGGGAAGGAGTGTCACAACTATTATTAGGGTCCAATTTTGAGATCAATTTCGCAATTGATCTCCTACATTGCACATTATACTAAAAGGGGTTATGTAACTCTTGAAAGTCATCTTTTATATTGTACCAAGATTGCCCCTACTTTTGCCCTACATTAGATATTGGGAAATTTTATGCCCTTGTTGTGACAAAAGTAGGGCATTTATGCCTTCTTTCAGATTTCAACTAACAAAACTCTAAAAAAAACATTTATGTCATGTGTCAACATCACAAACAAACAAAAGATCTTATTTAAAACCCCTCAATTTTTAACGAAGAATAAAAATATTCATCGATACATAGCACAGGAGCAATTTTGACCATTTTCCATCGAATAAAAGCAACATAGACTTACCCATTGTGTGGATGACAATCAGCTACAAGGAAGAACAACAAAGCAACCATAGTCACCTCCAACACATGTACAGTTAATAATTGCTTATATCTCTCCATTTTCAGCATTTTCACTATTAAAAAGAAATTTAATAGATTCAATTAAAAATATAGAATTTGATAACATGCAAAAAAAAAAAAACTAGGTAATTGTTTTGTCTATCAAATCCTTAATGAACATAGTTATATCCGATACTGATGTAATAATCGAGATGTATAAAAATTAGTCCAGATCTCGCCGTCATGAGGAAAAAAACATGAAAATTGATCCATATAATAACAAAAGGAAAGAAAAAAATTAGAAAAGAAGTTGCATACCTCTAATTTGCTAATCTTCTGTATATGTAAATATAATATTTGTACTGTATTATGCTTTTATATAAGTTTTGAAATCGGTCATTAAATTAAATAATTTTCATTTAAAGCTAAATCTTAGAGGAGATAATATTTGGCCAATAATAATGAAAGAACAAGTCATATATTTTCTTAAGGAAAGTCAAGTAATTATAGTAGACAATAAATTAGCTTTAAAACAAAATAAATACTAAATAGTATTCCAATAAAATCCCAAATCAATTTTTTTTATTAGATTTCCTTTCCAATATGTTCTGCATTCCAAGAAAAAAAATATATTGCCAGTTCATGGATTTCAAAAGGGGAAATTTCATAAATAAGGAGTAAAATCAGAGGTGTCAAATGAGCGGATCGTGCTGAATTTAAGAAGGAATGGGTTAAAAACTTAAAATGGACCGAATTAATAAGTGGGCGGGTCAATTGTAACTTGGTCTGATATACAACTCATAATCTAACTTGGTTAATTCTTACTAAATTTTACGGGAATTTTACACAAACCTTATAGTGTTAAAAGCTAATTATATCTTCTCTCTGCTCTTTTCCAAATTACAAAAATCCTTTAAATTTGGTGCATGGAATTTAACTACATCCCAAAACAACCTGATACATCGCGTCCCGGCTTCGATACATCCCTCAACGTCCTGATATATTGCATCTCGATTTTCGGATACATCACTCAACGTCCCGATTATCGTGTAAAGTGATGTATCTGACCGATACATCACGTAAAGTAATGTATCCTAGAATAGGAAAGAGTAGGAATTTTTGTAATTTTTTTAAATGGTAGGAAATTTTAGAAAATATGATAAAACAAGTTATGTATTTAAGTAATTTTTTTAATTTTAAATTTCTTTGTTTCTACTTTTATATTTTTTTAAGTACATAATAAAAACTATTTTTTATTACAGCTCGATATAACATGTCAAAACAAAAAAATGAAAATAATTTAATGAAATATCTTATGTGTCAATTTGGGCTAGCACATCAAGCTAATTTCAATGAGCTTAAATGACCTAATTAAGGTGATAAAGGAACGAATTAATAACCCATCCAAATTTAAATGGGAAAATTGTATATAATAGCAAACTATTAATTCAAATTAAATGCTATAAATATAGTTTGATTTAATTGTACCCCATAGCAAACTATTGTTATTTAACCTCTCCTGGTGAATCTCGCTCGCCACTCTCGTTCTCTCCCTCGCCTCTCTTGTTTTTTATACAAACGCAAGTGTATAAAGTGCGTTTGTGTTTGTATAAAGCGAGAGAAAATTGTATATATACATATATTTTCGTTCCCCTCTCTCCCCTCTCCCAGATCTCGCTCGCCACTCTTCCAGATCTTGCTCTCTCACTCGCCTCTCTCACTTTATACAAAAACCGCAAATTGTATAAAATGCGTTTGTGTTTGTATAAAGCGAGAGAAAATTGTATATATACATATATTCTCGTTCCCCTCTCTCCCTCTCCTAGATCTCGCTCGCCACTCTCCCAGATCTCACTCTCTCACTTCCCTCTCTCACTTTATACAAAAACGCAAATGTATAAAATGCATGAAAATTGTATATATACATATATTTTCGTTCTCCTCTCTCCCCTCTCCCAGATCTCACTCGTCACTCTCCCAGATGTCACTCGCCACTCTCCCAGATCTCGCTCGCTAACTCGCCTCTCTCACTTTATACAATTGATATTTTTGTATATGTATACCAAAGTAGATTATACAACTGCTTTCTTTTGTATATGTATAGCGAAATATACATATTTATGTTTGTTATGGAGCGCAATTATGCAAAGTTTGCTATAACATACAAATATGAATTTTGTGTTTGCTATATGTGAAAGTTGCTCAATTTAAATAGCTTAAACAAATTATATTTTTATGAGCTAAAAATAATAACTATGCAAAATGTTGTGATTGAAGTTAGTTGATGATCTTAGAGAAATTTATATTATATGATAACTATTAGGAGTTGTGAGTTATTAGAATGGTGGTTGTATCATCATTATTTTATATATTGAAGGCTAAAATTATTCCAATAAATTTCCAATGGAATGTCCGTTAGGAATTGCCATTTTTTTCAATATAAGGTACACAAATGTTATATATTTTTGGGGCTAATTACATTTTATTTCGAAAGTTTTTTCAATTTCAAAAAATTCAGATTTTTCATTGATTTTGAATACATTCCTTGGTTGTCCGATACATTGTAAATGATACATTACTTAATGGGAGGATATATCTGAGAGGGGATAGGGTTGTATCCGAGAGGGGATTTTTGTAATTCTTTTAAATGGTAAGAATTTTAGAGATTATGATTAAGTTATAATTTTATATAATTTTTCTTTTTTTTTTATAATGACATTGTATAAATTTGAATTAATCGAACTAGTAAATTTCAGACTCCAAATAAGTAACAAAAAAAAAAGTTAGATTCTCAAAGGCCCGAAAAAAGTTGAATTGAAAAAGTATTCATCTTTATAGTAAATATTTATATATATATATATATATATATATTGGATGCTACTTGTCACATTTTTTATTTTAACTGATCTTATGGATCTTATCATTCTTTCACTTCTAAATATAGCGTTTATAATAAACAAATTTAAAAAAAGACAAATGAATCCAAGAAAATAACCATCTAATTATTGATGAGGTCCTTCAAAACGAATATAATCATACATTACACCTTCAAAAGGGGAGAGACCGCTTGATTGTACAAGAAAAATTGTGTTTGTTCCTTTGACAAGCAATTTGCCTTGTATTCCAATGCTATAAAGCCAATATAATCCATGAATTCCATGTCTTGCGATCGCATTACTTCCTCCTATATGTCCTGTCGAAAAATGAGGTTTTTGTATTTTTTCATCGTTGACATAAACCTTAAGAAAAAAACAACCAAAAATAAACTTTAGTTAGTTAAAGACATAATATGTTCTAGACTGCTCGAATTCTCTAATAATAATATCGTACTTATATTTATAAAAATATTATCATATCGATAATATTTTTAAAAATCCGAACAACATCACACATATTCGAAATAATAAGTCAAGAAATTAAAGGGAATATAAATACATACATGTAGGTCAGCTTCATGAGCTGCAGCAAGAGCCAATTGGAGAGTGTAATTTGAGGCAATATTAACATTGGCAAGGTTAAATATAATCTTCCATGAAGTACCTTTATATGTCTTATTTCCTATTTTCCTGCAAAAAAAAAACATCAATTAATTTTTTATTAAAATATTTTATCTAATGACTGTAAAAGAAAAAATGGTCGATATATATATATATATACACAGTCGGACCTTCTTATTATTAATTAATAATCATTCGTGTTAGGCTTTCTATGGAACTGATCTTTCATGTTATGTTCTATGTACATAACAACAATTTACCAGTCTATAGCAACCAAAACATATTGAAGCAAATGACGTTATTATAAAGAGATTTGACTGTATAAACAAATTTACCTAGTAACTTGAGCATAAAACCAATCTCTTGAGTAATTGCTAGTCCCAACATTGTAGACAAGATCATTTTTAGGATATAAAACACCATATTGTTCCCACAAACCATATTGTCTAAATCTGCAAACCAAAATATAGAGTAAATAAACAACAACAAAAAATTACAATTAATTAAAATTTTAATATATATAAAAAAATTATTTTTGAAACTTACTTTGATTCAGAATTATTTTTGTATTTGTGAACTTTGAATTGTGAAGGTGGATTTGGAATAAAAAATTCAGCAGCAGTTCTATCTGGTATACCAATTTCCCAAATTGTAGCTCCATTTCTTGGAGGTTTATAAATCAAAGTACCTAATTTAATATTTGAACCTATATTTTTGTTCAAAAAAAAAATTAAAAACTATTGTTTAGAATTAAGAAATAATAACAAATGAGTAATTAAGTAAGAAAGTAGAATTACCTGAAGTAACTTTTATATTTGAAGTGTATTTGTAATCCCCGATAAAACCTGGAACTGTTGCATACAAGTTATATGTACCGAATATGACATTTTCTATGATGAAGTTTCCTTTACCATCGGTTTTAATCCAGAACTGATAACCCTGGAGATTATAAAACATAATGAAATAAAAAAAGATTAATAAATTATATAATTAAAATATTCTTCATTATTTTTTTTATAAATCATATAATTAACCTTACTTTATTTTCTCTTTGCCAAGATCCAGCTTCTCCTGGTGGCCCTAATCCTATATAAGCATTGGATGCTGCCACATTTTGTTTACTGATAAACCTTATAAAATAAAAACACAAAAAAATTATTAATCGGTTAACAAATAGATATTATTATAACAATAATAACATGGTCAGTATAATCTCGTAAGTGAAAAAGACATACCTGTCATTAACAAATAGTTGACCTCTAACAGTTCCTCTTTGATCAGATTTGATGTAGTCTTTTGAAAGTGCAAATTCATAAGGCCAACTTGCAACTTCTTGATTCATCTGTATATATTTGGTTAATGTGATTTGACACGAAGTTTACAAAATATGTATAATATATAAAAATGTGACGCTCGGAATAGAAAATAAGCCTTTGAAGAAAGAGTGCACATCACATCTTAATTGAATCACACATCAAAATAAAGTTAGGAACCTTATTATAAAAATGAGTTCAGAATTAACTGCTGAACTAGGTTGTCTTTAGGGTCAAAACCCAAGGCACAAATCTGAATAAGACGTCTAGGCTCAAAGCAGACAATATCTTAACAGTTGGATCGTACCAAAATATAGATAATCGATTTTTTTATAAAAAGATAAACTAGAAAAGAAAGTAAGACACATAAACTGAAACCAATACATACTCTTTTCTTTGCATCATTCCAAAGTATGGAAGGATTTGCCTTAGCTGCAGCATTTGAATTTAGATACACAAAAACAGGACCTAAAACTTTTTTCCATGATTCTCCTTGTTGAAATTTAATTGCTAAATCCTCTCCAGCATAATGTGTACTACAAAATACCTTGCAATTATAAATAAATAAATAAAAGTTAATTAATATAATTCTACACTAAAAAAAACATTATAGAAATTAATTGAGTAATTAATTAATTAATGACTTACAGTAAGTACAGTTGGACCAACATGTGTAGTAAGATCTTGTTTAAGAGGTCCTCCAATACGATATTCATTACTTGGATTAATCATCCAAAATCCTAATGGAGGATTAGTAGTACTAATCCATCCATAAACTTTACCATCTTTATCATCATTTGAATAGAAATACTTGTCATCCACCTATATAATTATGTGGAAAAAAATCATGTTATCGACTATCGTTATCATCAGAAATTGTGACGGGATGAATATGATCATATCTCTCCACGTGCCTTGATCAAAGGCAATGGTCATGAATATATAGTCAAAAACAAAATCAGTATTTAAAGTTTATGAATTCTAAATTTGAAGGTCGAGTTATGAATTGGATCATATATACTTATTGAGTTAATTTGCATGATACGAATATAAATTAGTCGATTTATAAGTTTATTTTAATTACAGAATCGTACCTCTCCTTTTAAATCTGGATTAGTCGGATTAGTGAGAAGAACAGCTTCTTTATAGCCAAGCACTTGGCCTTTGTTTCGATCCACGTCTGTTGGCATGACACGTTGCCTCTCATCAGAAACAACCATGTAATTAAACCTATATACATAGATATACAATGTCAATATACTATAGTATTTATTTTTTGAAAAAAATATTTTATCGATGATTGAGAAAATTTAGATTAAAAAAAATACATACATGTTTGTTTGAAGCCTAAACACAAGCCTGATGTTTTGTATTGACGAAATTGGCCATCCTTTTAAACGTTCAACGATCGAATACGTATAAAATCCTGGTGTATCGCGTAATATTATAAACCTGAAATTAATTCTCTATATATCAGTATATTGCTATAACGGTCAAAAGATATTTAGAGAAATTAAACAACGAAGTTATTATAAAGAAGTTTGATCATATGTTCTGATAATGTAACATTATTTTCGCGCTATCAGAGTCGCCTAAAATATAATTTTAAAAAAAGAAATACTTACCTTTTATCAATGTTTAAGGGAGGTTGATTTGATTGAGAAGCATTCCATTTTCTTTTAAATGAAAGTTCTGTCTGGTTTTCATTGTGAATTATTACCTCAAAACTTGTTCCTATAAATCTGCAAAACCAAAAGTATATTGGACTTAATTTCAATTTTTTACTTTCACACAGATAGAATTATTCCATTCTTAATCATTATAAGTCTCGGGAACAAGTCTTGTGAATAACAAAACCCTTGATAGAGAACATTTCTTCCTTTAATAAGATCTACGCAACACAAATCTGAATGTATAGTGTCAGTGAGTATCTGACAATTAAAAAATACTATAGTAATAACAAACACAAATTTTCAATAGATTCCATAACAAATTGGCTTATTAGAAATGTTTTCGGTGGAATTTTCTACTATAACGTTCATTGGAAATTCACATTTTATAATAGTGAAAATCTATCCCAAAAAAGAGATAACAATAATTTTCAATTATCCATGATGTTACGTACGGATTCAAACTATGAAACTAAACTCTCGTAGAAATGCAAGATAAGACAACATACAGATACAATAAATCATTACATTGTGGTTCGTTCTTTCATCATACCCCAACATAACGAAAGCTTAGTGTATCGAGTTGTTGTTTTTAATTGTTTTGTCAAACATTAATTCGAGACAAGAAGATAAAACATTACTTTTGTGAAAAACTTGAACGAGGGTTAGTGTTACACCAAACAGTATCCCAATACCTGAAATAGTTATAATTAAGTATTATTAGTAATTAATTTCTACATTAAACAAATATTTAAATAATTAATCAAAGTTTATAGATTAATTAATTACCCTCTATTGGTTTCATCATTTTGGATGGATAATATATTTTGAACCCCACCATATGATATGCCAATGACTTGGCCATCTGGCGTTGATAAAGTAATATTAATGAATCTATTACTTATCGTCACCTGTAAAATTTAAATTCTGAATTTATTTCTGCTACGAGTAGGGGTCACAAAATTAATTAGCACATAATTAAAAGGTGTAAACATTTAGAAAAAAAATATATTTGCTAAACATAGGTTTTTACTTGTTTAGGTTGTTTGTCCAATTTGACTGGGGGCATTGTTGTCAATCTTCGTCTGTTTTAACAACAAAGAAATAATAAAGTTAGGTGAATGCTCGTGATTTAATTAAATCTACTTCATACGAAAAGTATAACATATAAATAAATCACATTATACTAAAAAGGTCATGTAACTCTCAAAAATCATATATCTTGTATATAGTGTCAAGAACATGGATTAAGAAATCGAAACGAAAAAAGGTCAAGGACAATTTTGACCATTTTCCATTTCTATTGGGGGACAAAAATGCTCCTTGGTCAATTTCTAACGAGAGACAAAAATACTTTTCGATAAATATTATAAGGATAATTTTGACCATTTTCCGTTGAATAAAAATTTAGAGACTTACCCATTGTGAGGATGACAATCAGCTACTATGAACAACAACAAAGCAACCATATATCTCCACATTTTCTGCATTTTCACTTTTAAAAAATTCAATACATACAATTAAAAATATCGGATTTGAATCATTTATCTAATAATATCACAAAAAGAAAAAACTACTAGGTGATTTTTATAATCTATCAAATTTTTTAGTGAACAAAGTCACTCGATACTGTAGGTTACATACCTCTAATTTGCTAATCTTTTGTATATGTAATAATATGATATGTTTACTGTATTAAGCTTATATATAAGTTTTGAAATTGCTCATTAAATTAGATAATTTTCCTTAAATGTAAATCTTAAAAGAGATTATAGTTGACTAATGAAAAGAAAAGAAGCAAAAGTAATTTATTTTCTAAATAAAAGTCAATTAATAGTAATTTACCTAAAAACATAACAGGAAATACTATTACAATAAAGATGTCAAATTATTTTTTTCATTAGACAATTTACCTTCTTATATGTTCTACATTTCAAGAAAAATAAAATATTGCAAGTTCATATATAATATCGCGATAAATTGAGGTTTAGTAATAGATACGCGCAAATACACTTATTATCTGCACAGATACACTTATACAAAGATATTGTATATGCAAAAATATAGTTATACATACGACATTACACGAAGCGAGAGTGCATGGTCAACACACACCTAAAGCGCCTACGTTCCGCTTGCAGCCAATACAACCACAACCTAACTTGCACGAGATTCAACAACCGAAGCTAAGTGCATGAATATAACGCGGGAATAATGTATATATTCACAGATACACTTATTATCTGCACAAATACAATTACCCAAAGATATTATATACATGAAAATACAGTTATTAAGTACACAGATACAACACGCGAATAATGTATATTTCCGCTATATATATATATATATAAATACTATATACCGCTTGATACAATGTATTCCTCTACATTTTAGAATCAAAATACTACTACGTTTCGTAATTAGTAAGATATCGAAAAAAAAAAAATCGAAAATCTAAATGCAAAAAAAAAAAATTCAAAAATAATTCTGACAATGGAGGTCTTGTCATACAAAGTGCAGGCCTGTGGATGAAAGGGCCTGAGCAAATTGGGCCCTATTCTAATGGCCCATTTTTATTTGTTGTTATTAAATCTGCAATCCATTAGATTATGAATATAAATAGATTGGACATTTTGACATGACACTCACTCATTAGCAGCCAAGTATTTAAAAGGTTCCAACTGACACACTTATCTTTTAAAAAAGGAAATCGACGAAAAGGAAATTCATAATCGTTATTCTTCAAGTGTACACAAGGTAAATCGTGTTTTTATGGTTAGTTTGTAAATTACATAGGAGAAGAAAAAGGTATTAGACAAGTCACGTGTGATGAATTTGATTCAGAAAACCAAAATTCTTAATATCGTAAGCAAGGGGTTTTAAACTTGAGATCTCCAAGGAGGAAAAATAGTAGTTTGCATTTTATAGAAGTGACGATAGTTTGTGTGAGGTCTTTTTTTATTTCATGAGTAGCTAGATCTGAATTTATACTATTGAATTCACATATACCGACTTTATTAACTTGTGAAATAAAATTTTAAAAAATATAGTAAAACACGGCTTTCATTTAGTCGAAACTTTAATATAGATATCGAATATTCGTCAAAAAAAAAAAGTTGTGACTAGCTCCTTGCATATGGACAATTAACTTGTGATGAGGATTGCGGTGGTTATATAACATTATTATTATTATTAATATTATTTATTATATGTTTTCGGTTGTAGGTGATGAATTAAAGTGATATGATGTATAGTAATATTATTTGTTGGCCATAACATAACAACAAACAAATTAATATAATGACGCTTTCACCCATAAGACTTTTTGGAATAGTGACGAAATGCTTCATGAAAAAATGATAACGATAAGGTTTGGTAGTAGTAATATCTTTGAATTTTATATAACTTCTTTTCTAAAAATAGAAAAGAAAAAAAATAACAAGAAACAATAAAGGTTAAGAAGGTAGGATTATATATAAATATATAAATCATATATTTAAAAACTATCGTAATTTATAAAGATCAAAATAATCATATTTCATAGAGTACAAAATTTTTCGAAAGAATAAGATGCTATGAGGTGAGAAGGAAGCTAAAATCCTCAATTTACAGAAATTCCAAATCTTTTTTTTTCCTACAAATAAATAATTAGTTAAATATAAAAAGATTTATATTTCTTTATTTATGATTTTGTTATTAGAATATGAGCTTCAATTAATTTTTTACTAAGAGCGAAAGAAATTGTTATCATTCTATAGTTTTACCACATTACTTATTTTAGTATTGTTTTTCACCTAATTAATACGTTTTATTTTGGATTCTGATCAACTATGAATAACAATACATTAGTTCATATAATCTCTTTCGATTTTTTATTTTTTTTTGACATGGATAACTAATTTTCTCCAAATAAATAATATAAAGTCAGCTACATTTTCTTTAATAAAAGTTTGGCCCCGCTACAATAGAAAATCCCTATTCTACGCTAACAATTTATCATAAATATTCTTTCCCTTAACATTTGGCAATGTATTAATAATAAAATAATTCAAACAAGAAACTATGTTTTATGATCAATTAAAAGATTCTTATATTTGTCACAGAATCTAGTCAAACTTTTGCTAGTGAAAATCAATGAAGGTTTCAAAGTGAAAGTGGCATTTTTTTATCTCGGGTTCGAGTTTTTGGGTATGAAATAATTCACCTCTCTTTGAACGGAGCCTTACGCTCTGCGAATACAAAATAATCGGACTTCAATACAGATACAGGACATCAAGTGGAAAAAAGAGACATTTAGGTTTTATTCTATTTTTTAGAATTGGTGTAAATATAGTCCTCGAGAAATTATTCTTTCGAACTGCGGTAAAACTGCTTCTTGTATTTACTCGTATATTAATCAACAATACTAATTTATTGCTTATAGACTATAATTGAATATTTGAAAATAACTTACAAAATTATAGATAATTGTCCAATGTTTACTCAAGAAACTATTAGTATGTTGAAAGCGAATTTTTAAGTCGCAATTTAAAAGGTTCATAAATTAAAATATAATTATTTCACCAAAAGGAATAGTCGATGAATATTTCACAAGTGAAAAGGATATAAAAAGAAAAATAGGAAACAAATATTTAATTAATTTAAATTTATGAAAAGGTCCTTAATATTTTCTTTTTAGAGGATTTAGTCACTAATGTTTTCAAGTAGTGCATGGAAAATGACGTTGTGATGGAATCCAATATTTGAAAATTGGAATGTTCGTCATATCATAGTCTAAATTAATAAGTGATTTGTAGACGTTCCACTCATAATTAATGAGTGTCACAATGAAATTATTTTTTAAAACTAAAAAATAAAAATGGGCCCCCTTTGTCCTTTCAGGAAAAATGAACAGTCTGATGTACAAATCATTCCATGTTATTAAAATTCAAAAAGAGCCGCATCTATGGTGTGCGATGAGTCGATGAAGACAACCTATCGTAATTCAAGTATAAATAGTTGCTTCCACGAGTCAAATTTGTCACCTATAAATCACACAGAGACAACTTTACTGTTCAACCAAATTTTTTTAAATTTAAATCGCTATCACTTCCATTTTCTTGTGGGTCAACTTCCCTATTATTTTCAAGGTGATTTCCTCAATCATGTCAATTTGGTATGTAAGACTAATTCATATATATTAAGTTATATACTAATCTAACATTATTTAATTTAATTAAATACCGTTTATATAGTTTAATTAATTTATTCACCACTTATACATTTGGTGGGGTAATCTCCTATTTATTATTTTATTTATAGAAGGCCCTGCCGGCAAAAATATTATTAATGGAACAAATTAATTATTAACAAGTAGGTTAATAAAATAGAATAAAGTAATTATTAAATTATAAAAGTCACATTATTAAATGATATGGACGTATACGTAGTTACGTGCATTAAGGCTTTTAAGCTAAGATGGTGATTAAAATTCTATTTTAAAGGGTTAATTAATAATTGATCAAATATACTTTTTTTAAAATTTATTTATTGAGTTATAAAAGGGACATCATGATACTTTCTCTAATTAAATTCTATTTAATTTCCATTAATAAGTTTATTTATAGGACGACAACAAAAAGGTAGAGTAAATTTAATTAGTAGTTAATTAAATTGATTAATCTAATTAATGTGGTTTGCCGTCCAGGTTAGGCCTGCTTTAGTACAAGAAACTATTTTTTTTCTACATATTTAAACATAAGTTTGTGTTGTATTTTTCAAGGAAGTTTGTAATTTCCATAAGATTTTTGCCTTTCATAGTTCAAATTTTAAAGAAAATATTATTGAATCGGATTCACTCATTAGGGTACCAATTAGGCAATTAGTTAGTTAATCACCTAAGTAACGTATTAGATTAATATTTATAAATATATCAGTATAGGTGTTGAGAAAAAAATATGTTTTTATCAATAGATGACGGATAACTAGGATTTACAAGAGAGAAGATTACCTGCATTTCTTAAAATGAATTTAAGTTGTGAAAACCAAGGATTTACTTTGTTTTTTTATTTTAAAAGAAGGCTCGACGAAGGGAAGGAGGTGTGACAGACAATGGAAAAGAAAGATGCTTTGAAAGATTGAGATATTTTTTCATCGAAAATAAAGAAGATCAAGGATGGCCTATATTGAGTGATATCCGAAGAAAATACACTTTTTAACTGCCTCAGTATAATTGTGGGGTCCAATGAGAGCTTGGGCCCACTATAGAAAAAGTACCTCTAGGCTTTCACGAATAATTGGAATAATTGAAGAAGCTCTTTATACGAGAGTAGTATCTTCATTAGTCAGAAGGAACTAATCTCCTCTAGTGTTAATCAAAGAATGAACAGTAAAAAGGTTATTGTGCAGGATAGATAGATATAGCCTAATGACTTTAATTTTATGATCGATAACTTAAGTCGCGATTGAAAAGTATTCGCTTCTGCATGAAGAAACAAGTAAATCTCCT